GGGGGGGGGGGGGGGGGGTTTCGGCGCTCTCATTTGCCCTCACCCCTTCTTCCAATAATAAAATAAATAAATAAATAACCATGAGTTGTTATTGATTATAAAAATATTTCACAAATTATAGTGTCGTTGGCTTTTTTGGACCAAACGATATCTTGTAACTTCCTTCCCATAGTAATATATGCAATGATATTGCTATGCACCTTTTATATGTGAATGAACAAAATTAGAGCTTGGTTGTCTTGAAGACCATATTTAGGCATTTGTAGACATTTTATTTTTGTTTACTTAACTTAATTTTTACTATGATTACGTGTTAGTCTCTTAATAGATTCTCAAAGAGAAGTCGAGTTGGTTACAAAACCACCATTCTTCGATAGGTCAAAATGCACATTGAAAAGTTTAAGTAAAAACTTTTTTAAAATGGATTAACGAGAAAGTGTGGTTATATTTCTTGTTGATATTTTATAGATTTGCAATGCGATTATCTGTTATTAAAAATTTAGTGACAACAATAGTTTGCTACAAGAAAAGAATAATAAACTCACTATTTATTTACCCAATATAAAATAAAGAGTTTCACTGTTAAATTTAAAGAAAATTCTTACATGCATATAACGTGAGTCATAGGTTATATTATAATTCAAGAGTAATAGAATATACACGTGAGGATTTTCGTCTAAGTTAGCACTGAATTTTAACAAAAATACCACGTTAAGCTAGATTGAATAGTTTATCGGCTAAATTGATAAAAAAAAATTATATAATTTAAAGATTTAATTAACACAAATAACATAAATTAGAGACTAAATAAATAATTAACTCTAAAATAATAAAGTTATTATCCCACTGCACCCAAATTACTGCTGTTAGTTGAAGAACAGTAAAGTGTTGTTGCTTAAAATAATATTTATTTTTTTTTAAACTGATATTATTTTATTAAATAGAAGGATATTTTTTTTTTTTATGTGAAACGACATGAATCCAGACTGTTATCCCACCACTAACCTTATTTTAAGCCAATTAAAGTCCCGAGTCTATTTCCATATAACTGACATCTACAGTAAAACCAAAATCACGGTGTGGCCCCACTAATATCAGACGTTTCAACCCAAACTGGTCCCCACAGTCAGCCTTGGAATACGCGACAAAGAAAAACAGCCTCCCTGTGGGCCCCAAGTGACCAGACACCACCTCCTCCTTAGGCTCTAGCTGATGTGATCACCTAGACCCCTTCTCGCATCGCTTTCAACCGTCCGATTGAAAACGAAACGCTTCTCTTTCTCTCTCACACACATACACACAGACGCAGACGCAGACAGTCACCCGCTCTTTCTCTCTCTACATATACCACTGCAGTAGACCTGATTTGGCGGGTTCCTCTCTTACTTCATGGTCCTGATTCTTTTTCTTCTCCATCCATCGAAGATAACTCTCACGCCCATCCCGAGGAAATTTCATTCGTGTTTTTTACTTCGATTCTCTGCAATTCCTTTCTTTGCGTCCAGTGTACGTACGTTCATTGGTTCTTCACGGATTATTTTTCACACTCAATCATTACTGTGCTGTAACGTTTCGTATCTTCATTGAGATCAATGTGTTTCAGTGATTGTCTGCAAGTTCTTGATTCTTGGCTGGTATGTGCTTGTTTTACCTGAGTTTTAGTACAATTTCGATTAACGATGCTAAAAAAATGGAAAATGCCGAGGATTTTTTTTGTACAGATTGTTGTATTGTTTTTATGTTTCTGTGATGTTTTAGATGTAACTAGTTTGGATCTACGAGTTCTTGGTTCGTGTGTAACTAGTCCACAACAATGTGTTTTTAATTTTGAAGAAAGATTGGGATTTTGATACTAAGATCCAATTTGAGGTGAGACTTTCTTTGATGAAGTGGGTAAGATTTTTGGATTTGAATGTGAAATTTATGCATGAGTTTCTTTCTAGACTATGAAGTTGAGGAAAGATTTGGATTTCAACTATTTTTTTTTTTTTTGATATTCTGGTGACTGCTTGGGTCAAAATTTATGCCATGTCGAATAGTTCTTTCCCCCCGGTCTGGTGTCGTTCATGTCGGAACCAGGAAATTTATGAGAATAAATCTTTCAAAACCTGTCATAAAGAGTTGGCAAGTTTTCAACTCAAAATTTTTGAGTTTACGGCTCTATCTTTGTCTCCACTAGACTACCTTTCGAGTTTCAACTAATCTTTGTTCACCTGCGCACACGCACATTCTTTGTAATCGCACATATATGTTACTCATCTTCTTCTCATTCTTGAATGAGCTATGTTGGATGATGTGCAATTGGATTGACATTATCCACCCCCTGCTACTAGTGGCCTCAAATTTAGTTCTTGTTGGAAATCTGAATTTGGGAAAATATAATTTCTGAAACCTTTCTGTACAGGGTAGAGTCATAATTTTATAGTGAAGGGGCAAATGATAATTTCTGAAACATTAGTGAAGGGGCAAATGATAATTTCTGAAACATTCTTTTTCTTAAAAACTCTGTTTATGCACCTGAAATGGTAACCTTGCTAGATATCTTGCTCAATGAGTTTTCATCGGGTTCAATGAGGAACCCATCATCATGTTTCTTATATGATTGCATCATATGTAAACTTCATATGGTAATATACATGTCAAATTGATGTCTGTTTTCAGTCTAAAGCAAGCTATTATATTGTAGCTAGCATCGATCAGCTGAGAATGAGGATATGCAGCACCATGCAATCTGAGATATGATCAAGTAAATAGTATTTATAACCTGTTGGGGACATGGGATATAGTTTAGAGATCAAAACGTGTTCAAGACAAGAACAGACCTCAAAAGTTGTGAAGGAGAAGATCCTATCACCTCGAGCAAATCGGAGTCTAAAGTTTCAAGACAAGTGCAAAGTTGAAACTCCATTTGGTCAGCCATACCTTGATCTGCCTCATGAATTAAGGCGGAATGCAGGTGACGGGCTTGGGCCCCGACTGAAATCTTCAGGGAATCGCCAAAAGCAGGGGTCCAAGTGTAAGGTAAATAAAGACGATGAGCTTGTCAAGCACATGTCTAATTTACCTGGCTATCTCCAGCGAGTAGAGAGAGGAGAAAATCTCCAAGAGAAGGCTTTGAATTTTGGAGTTCTTGATTGGGAGCGTCTAGAAAAATGGAAGTACAATGAAAAAAGTATACCAGTCAGAGGTAATACAAAAGCATCATCTTCTAGCAGTAAACCTTCATTTGTGGCCAGCGGGCCATCTGCACTCTCCAATATTGCTCATAGAAAGACTCTTTCTCCTCAGAGCAATCAATTTCCATCACACAGTTCTCATCTTAGTTCATCTCATGAAAAGAAACTTTCTGACGTTGTCCAGCAGTCCCAAGGAAAGGTCTTACTAGTCCAAAAGTCTGGAAAACTTCCAGCAAACACCTTGGATGGGCAGCAAAATCTCCGCCGGAAAGGTAAGTCATCTGCCAGGAATAATTCTGGGGTAAAGATTGAGAGAGATAAAAGGAAAGAGTATGATCAAAAGACCACATCAAAAAATAATACTTTGTCATTAGACTGGGGAAAGCGTGGATTTACGCTTTCTTCACATGATGCAATGAGTTCTCAGGATGGTGAAACTAAGATGCGAGTAGAGGAGGAATTTAATCTTGCTCACCAAAGTTGCCCTGCCGAGCAGCAACCCATTGTTCTCCTTTTACCCAAACATCCGTCCCAGAGAGGTTTAACAGAGAATTTTCAGCTTGCAGAATCCAGAACATCATTTGAAGGAAAATTTACTGAAGCAATTGGAAAGAGATTTCCCGATTGCTTTTCTCCTGAGGAACTTTGCCCTGGATGGTGTTATGAAATTCCTCACTCTTGTCCTCTGCCTGTTGGTGTTGCAAACAATGCGGATTATGAAATGAAGCCATGTAGCTCAATCAATGATCAGGACATGGAGCTTCAGTCTGATGCATCTCACAAGAGACTACATTCAGATCACATACCTAACATTCCATCCAAAGGTAAATGTCTTCAGTCAAGTGTGGGGCGCTCAACTTCAACTCCAATTGAGACTTCCCAGGGGCTGGATCAATACATTGATGAGCAGCCAGCGGCAAAAGGAAGAAATTCTTCACCTAGTCGACGATTTAGCTTTAACCTTGGTAGGATGAGCAGAAGTTTCAGCTTTAAGGAGAGTTCAGCAGTTCCACAGTTGAGCTCCGCATATGCTTCAGTCAAGTCTGGCCCGGTGAGGTCCGAAACTTGTGTTGGTTTGGATAATTATACCGGAGACAAAGCAAATTCCCACAATAGAGCCAGGGCCAGCCCCTTAAGGAGGTTACTCGACCCATTGCTGAAGTCCAAGGGAGCTCATTCTGGTGAGACTATTCAGTCGGCAAAAGGAAATTTTAATTCTGTAAGGTTCAAGCCCATCACTGCCAATGACTTACTTCAGGATAAGAAGCGTGAAGCATTGGCATTTCAGGCTCTTCTGCAGCTTACAATGAAGAATGGTGTTCCTTTCTTTAAACTTGTGGTTGATAACAGCAGTGATGTTCTGGCTGCTGCCGTGAAAAAATTTCCAACATCCGACAAGGGTGATTCCAGCTTGATTTATGCATTCTACTCTGTTCATGAAATTAAAAAGAAGAGTGGAGGCTGGATAAGTCAAGGATCGAAAGGGAAAAGTTGTGGCTTTGGTTATAACATCGTTGGTCAGATGAAGCTTTCTAGCTCCTATCTCCCAGATTTGACAGGACAGGATTCCAAAGACCAATTTATGGTTAGAGAGTCTGTCTTGTATGGTGTTGATCTTGGACAATCGGATAAGCAAATACCTGAGTTCTTGCCAAACAGGGAGCTTGCAGCTATTGTTGTCAAAAATCCAATTGAGAGCTCAAAGGATGGTGGAGAGCAGAGAGATAAAGGATATCATTATACAGGAAAGGGGTTCGAGTGTCTGCTGGAAGATGCAGTTGACACAGGAGAAAATAAAATTTATAATAGCACAACAGTCATTCTTCCTGGCGGTATTCATGGCGTGCCAAATAAAGGAGCACCTTCACCATTGATCAACCGGTGGAGATCCAGTGGATCTTGTGATTGTGGAGGTTGGGATGTTGGTTGCAGGCTACAAATTCTCACCAATCAGGATCAAAGCAGCAAGATTTCAAGACCATCCGTACATTGCTCTGCCCCAGATCATGTTGATCTTTTTGTTCAGGTACTGCTTTTATGCTTCGGCCTACTATTGCCTCTTTTCCTCATTCACTCCCATTGTTGAATTTGCTGATACGCTTCTTGGATCCACACTTCTTTACAGGGAGGAGGCCGAGAAAGCAAGCCAATCTTCAGATTGGCACGTTTCAAGAATGGACTATACTCTGTTGAATTTAATTCACCAATCTCTTTGTTACAAGCATTCTCAATATGCGTATCAGTCGTAAGTAGCCACAAGCTGTCTCACTTCTTAGAACCGAATAACCTGTCAGAACCAAAATTCTTTCCAGAACCCATGACTCAAATCAATAGAATGAACAATCCCCCCTTAGCCCGAAGAGAAGTCCATGCAAAATATGTCCCACCCCCACCCCCCTCGCCAGTTGGGAGAGTCTAGTTTACTGTAAAGGATCTACATTGGCTCTTACTTTTTAAAATAGCTTGGAAGGTGGGGAAGTCTACATCTAAAAGAGATAACATGGGCAAGGACTTGTAAGTTGTGGCCTGTTGTTATATCTTCTGTGAGGTTACCTTTGTATGCACTAAATCATGTAACACAAGTACATTAAGCAGCATTTGAAGACAGAAATTGTTCTGAAAAGACTAGAACTACTTGTATATGTACGTGTACAAGATCGGGCCAACTTGTTCCTTTATTGATTACATTGCCAATTACTAAATGTTGTTAGTGCATGTCAACTGAGTGTCGTTTATTTTACGGAGATGACAAAATCAAAAATCAGGAAGAATGAAGTTCAAACTCTGATTTTGGTGGCAACCTCTTGGCTGCAATTCAAAATTACCAATTTTCAGTATGTAGGTTTCAAGACTACACATCAAAATTTGAGATGTCCATGATTCCATTTTTCCGTTAGAAAAAAAATAGATTGCAGTTTTAGAATCACTCGACACTTTAGCCTCACCACCTAAATGTAATCAGAGCATTCAGGCTGTGTGCACAGGAGCAGAAAGGCACCGAAGAGCGAATACTTGAAGTAACCAAATTGTGATACAAACCGCTGATGAAGCAAGAAGATCCTCTATACTTATCAAGGAATGTGGAAACAATGTCCAAGCGCAAAACTAACGACCAAGACAAACTTTGGGACAATATGGCAACAGGTGTATATCCTTTAAAACAGGCAACCTTTAAACATCCATAACTGAATTTCCAGACCAGGTGTCTCTTCTTATGAATTAAATTGAAGTTACACGTAAAGAAGCTCAAAAATACAACGAAAGGTGTTTGTGTGTGTAAGAGAGGAAATTTGAAATGATAATCTAGCATAAAAATAAACTGAAAATAAAGCAATAAAAGACTGCAATTCTTCTGGGTACGCATTCAAATATGTTATTTAAACTGATATTCTGGCATACAGGTACATAAGAACTTACAGAATAAGAGGCAACCATTCATCATTGCAAGCATTAAAATATGCAGTATTCTGATCACAAGTCAAGAAATTGTGATGCATGGTGAATACAGATGAACCATTCACCATTAACTCTCTCGAACACATTTGTCGCAAATTGTTTTCCCCAGCTGCTACCCTTCGTCTTAACCATTTCAGTGCAGTTAACATACCCTACATCACCTCTAACATGAACTTGAACATCCTTAATCTCGATCTTCAATGGAAATTCATAGTCTGCCCATACATATTCCCAACTCCCCATTACAAGATCATAACCAGATATGCCACTCACACCAGGGTGCACGACACACACATTATCCCCCTTTGACCATAGAGCTTGCATAGCAGCCAGGTCCCCTTTCCTGAATGAGTTGTAAAACCGAGCATTTGCTGCTAGTACTGAGGCCTTGCTATCCTCCTGGAGAAGCCGGAGTCTATCCCTGATTTTTGCTGCTTGGGCATAATTCTCCTCCTCAATGGCAATCTGTAGTTCATGCTCTAAGGTCTGCTCATTTATAATGATGCTTTCACCACTCAATGCTCCCTCTGAGTCCCCACTTTTTACTTGACATGGTTTCCAAAGTAGTGGCAGGGAAGTTTGTCTGAAGGGTACTGCACTAAACACATAAAATTAGACTATCTAGAAAATGAGATTAGACTATCTAGCAGCTGAAGTGTTAAACAGAAAACTGAAATGAAGTTTAACATTAGGCAAACTCATGAAAGTACGTCCGGAAATTAACAATTAAGCATGAACATTGGACACAACCCAACAACATTAGTTGAAGAGGAGGAGAAGAAAACTAGTAGTAATTCAACTTAATTTAAAACACATGAATGCTGACCCAATAACATGAATACATTAAAAAAATGAAGACAACCTTTGGATAACCAAGCAAGTTTACTTTTATCATTTTTTAGTTTCCAAAAGATTTCTCTCTGAGGAGCATTGAGTTGATCTTGAACAAACTACATGAAACATGAATACTTTTTGTGGGTAAAATAGCGATGTTTGGTCCCTAAGGCTCAATTGCATCAGAGTCTAGTCTCAAGCATTGAAAAGATTACTTATTTCACTATGATAAACGCGAAGTCTCAAGTACTAGCTCTTCAAGCTATCCCTTGGAAAGTAAACACAGCCATTGCCTATATTCTTAAACCTGCAGCACAAAACACAAACAAAAGAACGATATATTCCCTGAAGAAAGAAAGTGAAAAGGCCTCTCAACGTGATCAATGCATGAGAGAAGATAGCTATGAACAGCTGGGTAAGCTAATATCCTTTTAATGCACAATCCACTGTGGTAATCCATCTCTTGATAACAAGTGGGAGCTCAAGTTTCTTTCTAAACTTTTCGTACAAACTTTCTACGCAACTTTCTTTGTACAATTCTTATTTTATTTTTTGTTTCTAACTTTTAACAATTTCTGTTTCTTTCTATCTAGTAAGGCTAGGAAGTTGATTCAATAAGGCTAGACATAAAAGCAACCACACTTTTGCCCTTTGAAACACATACTTTTACACAACTCCGCAACTTCCCAACCCCAACCCGAGAGGAAAATACTAAAGTCCTGTTACCATAGTTGTCACATCGTGATTTGTATCGTAAATCAGAATTCTAAATTTGAAAATCATGAATCGTAAGATTCGAAACAAAAATTTGAATAAAATTAAAAATAATATCTACATATTTAAAATAGACAAGATATTGAATATTAAACATTATTGCATTCTAAAATAATCAATTGATATAATCACGTTGTTTAAATAGAAAGATACTAGCCCTTTGCTTCATTTTCATTTTTTACTTAATTATTTTCAAATTTAACAACTTAAAGAAAAAAAAATTCATAAAAGAACCATGACTATTCAAGAATCAAAAAAATGGCACCCAATACAAAATACAAATTAGGAAACAAACAAATGAAAAAAGAACAAATAAGAAAATTGATTGGGAGAAAACATACAAGCCAACATTTTGAAACAAAAAATTAGAACATAACAAATTAACCATGAAAGAATTGAGAGCAAAAATCAAAGTTTAATCTGAAATATGGTGATCAGAGATAGAAAAATCCAATATAAAAAAGAAAAAAGGCATGCTAGGGTTTGCTTACTGTTAAGAAGAAGAAGAAGAGGAATAAGAGGCATACATTTAGCCGATGACAAGAGAGCTTTAGTCGTGACCTTCAACTTCAAACAATGCGAGGTGAACTTTAGACGACACAAGAGAGAGTGAGAGAACAAGAAAAAAGGCTGAGTTTTTATTAAAGTGTTAGTTCCTCTACGAACAAAACGACATCGTTTTAATGTTTAGCGAACAAAACGACGTCGTTTTAACAATTAACGAACAAAACGACGTCGTTTTAATAATTAGCGAACAAAACGACGTCATTTTGCCAAAAATCTGGGTTTTAAAAAAAGTGATTGATTCGTGTAATATGAATCGAATCATACGAGTCAGGTGCGATTCAACTGTAAAAACGATTCTCATATAAAATACGAATCGTTTTGTGCCTATATCGAACTGAATCGTATAATTCGACTTGTGAATCGTACGATTTTGATAACTATGCATATTACCTTATCTTAAACTGGATGTTGTTTGATCTTTTTTGATAATAACAATATCCAAACAAAAAAAATAGAAAACCAGCAGGTATTGATATTTTTCCTCATTGTCTCCAATGAGTCTCTCAGCAAACACATATTTCTATAACCAATCTACATATACAAGAGTTCAAGTCCAACCAAATCAAAAGCATGGGCATGTATTGCAAAATAAGAAATGAAAAGGCAGCTAAAATTGTGCGTGCCTCAGGAACTGATGATGAACATAAAAGAATAATATAGCCAACAACATGCTCAATTATCACACAAAAGTATGGAGCATTCATACAATTCTGGAATGAATCCAATTCATGATGCCATCCATGGGAATCATGTATCAATTTTTCTAAGAACAGCAAAAAAAAGAGAACTTACTATGCATTCTAGTTTGCAAATCGAGAAAATGGTGCCCTGGCAAAACTTTGATCTTGGTTCCTCTTTCAAAGCTGCCGGCTAAGACTAAATTATTTTGCTTCTGGAAAGGTAAAGAAAAGTGAGGATGGATCCCAACATTATGAATACAAGAACATGGCAAGCTACTATTGTCTCTGAAATCAACAATCTTTGCCTACAAATTGAGAAGAGCATAAGAAAATATGAGAAATTGAAATCTAAAAGGATTGTGAGCAATATTTGTAGGAAGCGATCCATAACCGTAATTTTTAAAATATTCTCCAAATCAGACTCAACCACTAATTTTCTCCATCAAAAAGAAGCACTAACCAACTAATATGTGATTAATTGTGCAATATCTATGTCTCAGCAATAGCAGAACCTTAATTTGCAATGCAGGAATGTCTATGGTCATCAAGTGAAAGCTTATATTTGGTTGCCTTCAACTAGTAATGCAATGATGTATCATAATCAATTCTAAAATAATATCACACTGATCTAGTTAATTGCATATTCATTAAATTAAATATTTATGTTCAATCTCCATAGTCCATTCCACTACCTACTATGGAAAGGATCATTTGAATATCTAAAGGAATAATTCGAGTTTCAGGTCTCGTTCTGTATGCTCCGTAAAACCTTCTTCCCAACTAGTTGGCTTGCCACTCTATCAGTATTCTTACTCAAACACCTATGTTTGAACTTTCTGAAATATAGTCCCTTTATTTTCCCTAAATCCCATCTAATTCACACAACAAGCAGTCCCTCATTCTTGAATTTGCAACCGTGCCACCTATTGGGGTCATTTCCTAGGAGTGATAAAATGGTTAAGCTAATAAAAAACCAGATGATGTGGGTTTTAATTATGATGGCTCCACTTTGTGCATGTAATGTCAAAAATTAAAACTATACACGATCCATCCCTCAATAACCCCCTTGTTTGCCACGGATTAAACTGGCTAATCACCTTTTAGTTGTGCCATCTTTAAAATGAACTATTTTACAGAAGAGCAAAAATATGTATGCATCTGAACTGAATAGAAATGACAGAGTTCTTTCAATACAAAGAACAACAGAAAACAGCTAAAAATGTAGAAATACAAATTATCTAACAAATGAGTTAAATAGAAGCGTATAAATGCGAATGAATCGAATAGAAAGAAACATCAAAAAAATAGTACTCACATTACTGACTAAAACGGGTCCACTAATCCGAGGATTAAGCGACAGCACAGAGAATTTTGAGGTCATCATGGCTGAAGGGACAGAGTTCAAACCATTAACTAGACTGCACAGAGACAGAGAGGTAAGGGTTTGATCGTTGGACTTGGACTTACCATTAACTATAATGCAAGAACACTTCTGTATTGAATTCTGTGTAAGAACTGGGGTTAGGGTTTTGGGTTCTGCAGCTCTGATATGGAAGACGACTTTGATCGTTGGACTTGGACTTACCTTCAGAGTGAGAAACCACGTGGAATTGGGGCCGAGTAGTAGTTGGGACATTTTGATTGGGTGGAGAAGTTTGAAAAGACTTGGACCGACAATTGTAAATGACCCGGCCCGATTGAGTTAAATTAAGGGTTCGTCGAAAGTCATTACACCTAATTAGACTTATTTAGTAAAAAATATATATTAAAAAATATTTTTAAAAAAAGGCTTAAATGCTTTTTTTTATTATTTTTATTTCATTAAAAAATGTAACATTACAGTTATCATAACTGCTAAAATTTAGGTTCTATTAATTCAAAATTTTTTCAATTTCCTCAAAAATCGTAATGTTTCTCTTTGTACCAAGGAAAAAATGGCTACTCATTATTTCTCTTCCCACCAAACCGCTGGTCTGCATATCCATTCAAAAAAGTCGATTCATCTTCTTTCTCAAGTCGATTCATAGAAAGGGTGTTGAATCTCCATTATTTATCGATTTCATTGTTCATCTTCTTCCTCAAGACGATTCAGGTTACAAACGGTCAATCGATTGAAGAGGATTTTCTTGGAAGTGGGTTTTTTCGGCATTGTCATTTGAAGTGAGTTTTTTTGGCATTGAACCCTTGGTACTTTGATCTTTGCTCGTTGTTTGCACTGTGGTCGATCGTGGTTGGGTATTCTGTGTTCATTCATTGTTTTGATCGTCGAAAAGTAATTTATGTATGTATATTTATGTGTGTGTATATATATATATATATATATATATATATATATATATATATATATATATATATATATATATAT